GTGCGTGTCCAATCCCTGCAGGTTCTAGACTGCATAAAAATGGTCCCAATTTAGTGTTTTCACATGAAAACAACAGATTTACAACCAGTTAACCACCTATTGCACAGCTGGGTGCTGATGTGGACTAACGTAAGCATCTAAAGACAAGCTGGGAAGTACAGGACTGCCGAGAGGGAAAAAGAGAGGTTATTGTTTGTCTGTAACTTCCTGCTGATCTGAAACCATCTGCCCAGCTAGCGGACGCTTCAACCGTGACAGATTCCCACCATTCTGCAGCAGCACGTGCACACGTATGCATCGTGACGGCATCAGTGAAGAAGAAAACAGTCTACTTGGTAACCTGCAGGATCCATGTCTTCATGACTCATAGTGTCCAACATTACGAGTCTGCTGGTTTGTTTGGAATAGCGATTCCTTCAGAAAACCCAAACTAAACACTTTTTATAGATTCAAACGAGCAGAACATCTGGCTGCACTTTGTAAAACACGCCAGAAAAGATTTCATTCAGTAACTGAAAAAACGTAAATCTCAATTTTCAGTTTTGGTTGGAGGTTTTTATTGTATTTAATTAATTAATTTAAATTTAAATCTGCAAGACTGTTTTGTTTTTATTTTCTGTTCTGCCCTTTAAATCTGTGTGCAGGTGCCCTCCTGTGATGGGAGAAGATGGCCGTGAGACTTCTTTATTGGGTGACTGGGAGGAGCCGACCTGATGAGAAGCAGCTGTGTCCTCCATTTCCTGCCCATGCTGCCACTAGCCCCCATTATGTTTGTGCTCTGTGTAAAGCAACTAGATGTGGTCGTTCGAGGATCACAGGGGTGAGCTGCCTTTTATTTTGAAACCCAGTTTGCTCCTGTTTTTGGTAAGTTTTGTTGTCATTTGCTTCCTTTCATTTACACATCAGCAGGAGTCATGTCAGTTCGAGGTGTTTTGTTTGTTATTTTAGGCATTGGCTCACCCTGAGTTTTAAAATCCTCTCTCTCCTTTATCAGTTTTGTAAATGAATAATTGTAAATAGTCTTTTTGGTTGTGGTTGCTTAGGATTGGTGGTGGATGGTGGACCAGCCTCCTTGGGTTGTGTATATAAATGTATTTTGTATAACCAATTATGTTTAAATCAGCCAATGAAATAAAAATCTGCTTACAGAGACGTGTGTGACCTGTAGAAATAATTATGGTCTATAGAGACTGATACATGATACATATTCATCTTTAGAAATGAGGAGAGGATAGATCAGTTTAGAGATAGAAAGAGGGATCTATGATCTATAAATAAAGAAACGGATGAGCAAAAGTGGTAAATAACAATCTAAAGAGATAAAGGTAACTATCGAGTTATAGAGAGGTTAATAAGATAGCCACTGGTCTACAGACAGCCATCAGTAGAGATGGCTATTAAGAAAAATGTAGATATAAATTTATTTCAGTCTTTAGAAACATAAGCTGTTTGGGTAACACTTTAGTTTAGGGAACACAAATTACCCATGAATATGCATTTTAGTGGACTACTAAGTCTGAACTAGTCATTATTAAAGGGACTTTATGGAGTTTTGAATTTTTATGCTCGTGATCGCCCCCTCAGGCCAAAAGCGTAACGGCAGCTTCAATAGTAGGCTCGTGCACGAGGCGTGCATGCTGTACGTGCACACTCCTTAACGAAAATAACAGCTAAGACAGTCCCTTGTGTGTGTGTGTGTGTGTGTGTGTGGTGTGTGTGTGTGTGTGTGTGTGTGTGTGTGTGTGTGTGTGTGTGTGTTTGTGTGTGTGTGTGTGTGGCCCAAAGGACAGGAGAACACGCAGCTAATTAATTAAATAATGTGGTTCTGTAGCTTTCTCTTCAGCACAGCGACAAAGGTTTATGATGGGTCAGTCCTCCTGCATGCTCAGATCATTCCCTTCCCTTGCTTGAAAAATTGAAAACCAAACAAAAAGAGAGAACCAAACCCAGGTCTTCTGCATGGGAGTCAGGTATCTTACAAGGTGGGCTACACACCAGTGACATCTTTTGTATCTGTAACATTTATATCCTTGATGACAGCTGAAACAACGTCAAACCAAAGAACGGTTCGGAGTGAAAATGGCTATTTTGTTAGCCTAGTGAACTAGACCAAATTCTTGCTTTGCAAAGAATGGTCTAGGCATGCTCCATTGGAACCTCAGCAGCTCCTACCAGGACTCTGGCTAGCCAATCACAGCTCTCTAGAGGGGTTTCAAACACATAAAGAGCTGTGATTGGTCCATAATGGTGGGCCAATCATAGTGCTCTATCTGCTTAGTGAACAAATCACAGAGCTTTATCCACTTTGTTGGCCAATCAGGGCACTCTATATGCCTGGTGGGTGGGATGATGCAACAGAGTGAAACAAGAGAATGTCACATTCTTTGTCCAGTAGAATGCGGAGATCATTTGAAAGACAACGGTAGAACCCGCCCCACAACCGAGAGCCGTCAATGGAGCATGGCCAGACTAAATAATACATTTATTTAGTCTGGCTTGCCAGGCTACTATTTTGTTGCTAATTAGCAGGAAATATCTAGAAGAAAGTTCTACAGAAAGTAGCTAAGGGTCCTCAGAAATGTAGCTAGCTTTGTCACTAGGCGTTAGGAACAGCGACAAAGTGGCACTGCCTCTCTCTCTGCTGCTAAAGCTACGGATAGCAAATGCTACGGGCGATGCCTGAGCGTGAACGCGCATGAAGCAGCCTGCTCGACCCGAGCATCTCTCTTTTTCTGTGATTTTACAGAAAAACAGGCGATCACAGTAAAAATGCCAGGGCTCATTCTACAGGACCAGGGCATTGCAGGAGAACGTATGAAGAAGACATTTATTATTTCTATACATGTTTTGGCTGTCAAACTTCCATAACGTCCCTTTAAGACCTTATTAAGAGCTTATCACTAATGCTGCCATTCTAACATTAACAGGCCATAAATTAAGAGTTTTACCTAAACAAGCCATTCATAAGGTTTGTTGCTAATTAACACACATGCTAATTAGCTCAAATCAATATGTGGATGTTAAATAAGTAATTCAAGGGGAACATATTCTTGCCTTTAAGTGGCTCATTAATACTAAACTACTAGTAATTAGGTATGAACAACATCTGACTTTAGAACGGGGAACATATTCTTGCTTACAAGTGGTTAATTGATTGTTGTTTAGGCTCTATTAACATGGAGTTTGGTGTTTATTTGCATTATACCAGAACATAATATTTTTGGTTATTAATGCAGAATAACTATTCCTCTTTCCATGCTTTCGTTCTTTTTTAACACAGAAACAGTTTTGTTTACCTGTTTGTAGCTACGGTTTCGCCGACAGCTGCCGGCTTCTTCAGGCTGACGCTGATGGTGGCGCGTCACTTCCTTCTCCGTTTATCGCGCCACCATCAGCGTCAGCCTGAAGAAGCCGGCAGCTGTCGGCGAAACCGTAGCTACAAACAGGTAAACAAAACTGTTTCTGTGTTTAAAAAAGAACGAAAGCATGGATTTACAAAGACACAGCAAGAACACACCTAAGATGAACTATTCCTCTTACATTACTTTGTTAAAAGCCACATATCGATGATATTGAATCAGCAACAAACCATTATGAATGGCTTATTTTGATAAAACTCTTCATTTATGGCCTGTTATATTAGAATTGGTAATAAGCACCTAATAAAAGCTTAATGATGACCAATTCAGACTTAGTAGGCCTAGCCCACTAAAATGCATATAAAATGGCAGCTAATTAAAGGTTAATTTGTGTTGATCTACTGAGATAAGTGAGTGGATGGATGGATTTTGGTTCCTTAAAAGGTGAGGAACACTAATTTAATCGATACATATGCAGCGGTCTCTAGTACGAATGAAGGAAGGCGTACTCTGGGGGAAAAGCTCCAGGGCACCTGTGTCAGGAACTACAAGTGAGTCACGTCAGAGCTGAGCTTCAAAAGGCCCGGAAAGGGTTTAGAATCTTTAGTTCCTAGTGTTTGGACGTCTCTCCTCTGATTGGCTAGCAGCAACACAACTCCACTTCTCCACTAATAACACAAGCCTGGGGGAGTTCTGCTGTGTGGTGGCATTGCTAACGCTAACTGCTAGTTTCTGCCGTTCCCTAGATGCTAAACCAACAACAGCCTTCCCCGTCGTGAGTCGAGATGAGCTTGTTAACTTTTTGGTGTTTAATAGTTGGTTGTTCTATTTGATGCTGCGAGAAAATGTTAAAGTGGAATTCTGATGTAAAAAATAACGAAGAGTGATTTTGTTTCGGAGACATTTTGGTAAGCCTTTTGTATCGTAGAACTTATCCTTAAACCCGGGGTTTAGAGTGAATCTCCTCTGAGCAGATGATACCTTTAAGCACTCGCTCTCGTAAAACACCACTGTGTCTTTGTGTACTTCCTGTTTTACACTTTAGAGAGATTGATGGGCTCTGGTGATGATGCATCTGTTTTCCTAACAGCACACCTGTAATCCCCCCCCCCCCTCCCCCAGGCCGTGTGATCGCCTGTCTAGTCATTAGTGGGCTTGATTCCCACGAGAATGCCTTCGGTGGTCGCTCAAGGTGAAATGCGGAGGAGTCGCCTCCTTCGAGTCTTTAATTCACAAACAAACGTGCTTCCTGTTTCTCACCGTTCTCCGACTGCCACCAGGTCTTCAGGCGGTTGGGGGCGAAGGTGGTGACCACGTTCTCGATGGTGTGGCTGGTGGGGTTGACGTCCTCGTCGTACATCTCGCTGGAGTCGCACACGAAACACTTGGTGTCCTCCTGCAGGACAATCAGTAGCCTTGCTCAGTGGAATGTCCAAGTTCGAACGGCAGAGATCTAAAATGTGTCAGACGCTCAGATTTCTACACTCTTGTTGCCATAAACCTCATTTATTTTAACCACGCATGGTCGGGCGTGTCGTTTACTCGACAAAACATCTTAGCTGCTCTGAAGTATTCATTCCAGATGTGTCGGCTCACATTCCTAAAGTGCTGCAGCTTGTGACGAATTTCTCAATTTTAAGTGCAGGAATCTGAGTGACTCCAGCTAAGCAGCTGTGCGTGGTGGAATAACTATCCCGTCACTTGAACCACACTTCCTTCCCCGCCTAATCTCCGGCTCAAACTCAAGATCCGTGCTCATCCTGGGAGATCTCAGGAAGGCCTCCGTGTGACATAAAAACACCGTTCACACAGAACGGCTCACTGGAGGGCTGATGAGAAGAGAGGAGAACATCCCCCGGGCCGTGCCCCCGCTTCTCCTCCATGAGGCCGCGGATTGTAGGCTAACACAGAGCTTTTATTGTGGCTGGGAATGTCTGAACTCCCACTTGACAAGACAGCGAGCAGATTGCTGAGCACGCTCCCACACACACTCGTTTAAAAACTTATCTGTAAAAATTACAGCCGGTGTTGAAATCGGACCAGGTCAGGCTTTAAAAAGGGGGGTTTGTTCATTCCAGCACAAATGTGGGCTGAAAATCCCTGAAGTTGGTTTATTTAAACGTGTTCCTGGTAAATGAATGTCGGCATAAAAGTGCTGCCGGGTTAGAATGTGTGAGATTAAATACGAGGGAAACAAATGGATGTTTTCAGGATGGTGTGAAGGTGCCATTTAATTAAACATGCAACATTCCAGGTTTGTTGATTACAGATCAACAGCATGTTGGAGACAAGAAAACAACATGGAGGACAGCTCAAGGGTCAGAGTTCATCTGCCTCGGGGAGGAAGCTGCTCCTTAGTTTTGTTTTCCTGACTTGGAAACTGCTCAACGTCTTGCCTGGCGGGAAGGAGGATACATAATCCTGGATGGGCGGGGTCCGTCATTATCTTTGTTCTAGCTCTGTGTCTGATGTTGGGAATGTCCCAGGGAGGCCGCCATCCGTCATTTCTTAGCTCATCTACCAGAACGCTGTCCACCACTCATGAAAAATAAAACGCACCAGCATTTGGCAACCTCATCAGAATCTCCTGGTCAGCCCTTCTCTGAACATTTGGTTCTGAATGAGGCTGCACTGATGGCCTCTCTAGATAAGAAAACTGTTTACTATCCTAAAGGTGCAGCAGGAGATTTAATCTGGAGCACTTTTTACCTTTTGGCTTGAAATGCTCTTCATGCTGATGGCAATCAATAGATGTTTTGTCAAAAAAAAAGGAATAATTTTGATCACAATCCTGGAAAACCCTCATCCAGTCACAGTACCTCGGCACATACCCCTCTAAGTGCAAGCATCGCACGTTTGGGAAGTGCTTATAAGCTAGCATGCTAACTGATTTTACGGCCGGAGTGGAAGAAGCGGAGGAGGATCTTTGACGTGAGTCACAGCGGCTTCTCTGGAGAGAGTCTGGAGAACTCCTGACAGGCACTGGACTACGACGGCTCATGGCCGCTACATCGGTGCATCGTGTCAGGAATTATATCAGGAAAGGTGCCGACAACAGGTCGAAAAGGTAAGATAAGGTTATGTTTTACGGCTGTTTGACAGTATTTGCCCCATGTGACTTCCTCCTGTATTCTGGGGGTGTGGCTATGGGGAGGAGTCTGAATAAAGGGGGTTGGACCTTTGAATTGTGTTTGCTAGAACAGCTTTTTCCAGAATAATCTACCTTTTAGAGTGATGATGACCTACCATAGTAAGAAGCACAAATGACAATGTGTTGAAATTAAAGAGTTTCTGCATTCAGCTTCTGATAAAAGAGTTCATGTTTATTAGATTTAGCAGTTAAAATTAAATTAAATCCCTTTATTTTAAGTCTTTAGTGCCACTTTGACCCTGAGGACCAACGGGTGTGTACAGAGTATAAAAGAGCGGGCGATCTGAAAACTCACGTCCCTAATTTAAATCCTTTACCACAAAACAAAACTTCAGTTAGATCTAATTAGTTTTATTCCGAGAACTTTTACCATTCCGTGGGACCAGGCCACGACCAAGGCAGTGGACGTCTGGAAGTCTTTCCCCACGACAATGGACGTAATTTTGGGGGGGGGGACAGGGGGAACATGCCCCCCCCCCCCCCCCACACACACACACTTTTTCCAAAGTCAAGTTTTGACCCCTGCACTGTTTACCATCCAAAAACAATATTACACTATTTTAAATTGACACTGGTTGAGCTCTAGGACCAAGTGGAAAACAACCATTTGTGTTGAAGCCTGTTTCCCATTAGAGCATACTGTAAAGACCCCCCCCCCCACACACACACACACACACAATCCCTGTGTCCCCCCCCCACTTCTAAAGCGAAAATGACATCCATGCCCACGACTGTAAATCATCCTCATGCAGTTCGTTCAGATTCATGTTGAACAAATTTCACAAAGACGACAGTTTAAGTGCCCAAACTCTTCCAAGTCATGGCGGCAACCGCAGCTGCTTTCAAAATGATTAAAATACCCAGAGTTCCACCTCAGCGGCTTATTTCTCACCTCCAGGTGTCCAACGATGCAGAAGGGTGCTGGCTGGTGAAGGCCACAGGTGGAGGAGGCAGTGAGTTTGTGCGCCCGGCCGATCAAAAGGTCACCTGTGGCGGGGTAACAGCTGCCCTCTGTGCACCCATCTGCAAACTCTGGTTCCTGCATCCTGACGGGACACCACAGGGCTGCAAGGAGGAAAACCCTCTGTTAAGATGACTCAATCGTTGCTCCTATTGGTGTTTATTTGAAAGAAAAAACTAAAAAGCAAGGATAAAACTGTGCAGCTGGCTATGTGTTCATTTGTAACAGAGTAGTTCTTGTGGAAGATAATCAGACAAATCGTGTGGTTTTCATTACATGAGCTGCTGGTCAGAAAACATTCTGGAAGATCAGGAGATGTTTTTCCTCTCAACGAGATCTCAGCACATTTTTACTAAAACTAAGTTTAGACTCACCCAAAGCTGTCAAGGTGAAAAGTATGGGCAGCATCTTCCGGGCTGGAGCTTCCACAGCTTCAGGATCCTCCTGAGGACTGCTGTGATGACTTGTGAAAAGTGTAAAACTCCAGTAAAGGGTGTTGTCTACGGGGGAAAAAAAGTTACTATCCCGTCAACTCCGCCCCTCTGTCAGCAGAGGTGTAAAAGAACAAGCGCACCCCCTGCTGGTGGAAACGGATAAAACTTATTTAGGAAACATTTTAGATTTGGATATTTCAAACTTTTAGTTATATTTGTTTCAGTTTGGAGAAAAAAGTATAAATTTTAAAAGGTTTTTCAAGCAGCAAAAAATTTTGCCGAAATAAAAGCAAACTTAAAATTGAGGAATTATTAAAATAAAAGTTACTGCAGAGTAGCTCTGTGAAATTTAAACACATCAATAATAAATCACATAAACACAGTTTTGTTTCCAGAATAAATCAGCCTGAACCTCTAAGTACAGTTATTTACTTTCTACATACGGGACTTTGTTTTAACTGCATTTACCAAATATACTAAAACAAGACAATAAACACTGTACATTCACATGTAACACATGTTTCAATAAATACAGATAATAAAATGTGTGTTATTTTCATAAATGTCTATTTATTTTAACCTTTATTTATCCAGATGAGTCGATTGAGAACTCATTCTCATTTACAACGACGATCTGGCCAAGAAGCCACAGCAACAAACGCATAGTTAGCTTTACATCAAAGAAAAACAGGTACGATTAAAAAAACAAGACAAAAACGAGATTAAAAAATTAGGCTAACGGACTGTTCTCATTTACAATGTGTACAAGCAATCAAAACAGACTTAAAACAGCCTTTAAGTAATCAGAAGCGGGTACATTCATCAGAAATTATTGACAGCAATGAATTATTGAAGGTGGATAATGGAATGTAGTTAGTTTTAATAACATTTTTAATAAAATTCCTAAATTTTAAAGTTAAAGTTAATAAGATATCCTCAATGGATTCGGAAGCTTTATCTCATAAACACGTCCGCCTAAAAGAAAAGCTATAACCAAACATACACACAGACGTCCATAATAAAATAACTTTTTGTTATTTAGTAATGCTTATTTCATTCATGTCATGCAAATGAACGAGTCTATTGTTTAAATGAACTCTGAGGGTTTCAGGTTTTATATTTTATTGGACTTTTATTTCACCAGAAAGAGTCCACTGAGATAAAAAAAAAATTCCAGCAGCAAGTATCAAACACACTTACAAAAGTTATCAAACAGGCAAAGAAAACAAATTAGGAGAACTGCAAATTTCAAATAAGATCACAGCAAATTTAAATGAAACAGTTGATGGTTGTAGAATTTGATCAAATCCAATTGTATTATTTATTATAGCACAACAAGATGCTATAAGGGGTTTTGTTTTCATTTGAATGAGCACAATAGTGTCTGCCAAAGACAACTTACATAAATGTGCCACAACCATCGATATATATATATATATATATATATATATATATATATATATATATATATATATATATATATATATATATATATATATATAATACAACAAATTTGTTAAAATATTAAATGCAATAAGATTTAAATATAAGCCTTTATTTATTTTTGACCTTTGATACTAGGCTATTTGAAATGTCTATTCGGTTTTAGTCTACTGATGTCGTTAAACGGAACTTCTATTCACAGTAAAACGTTGGTCGGACTTTTGCCGAAGACGGACCGGACCGGAAGTAGCGTGAGGTTACCAAAGTGCTTCAGAAGCGTGGAATCGGCGGAGTTTTTCTACGTGCTTTGCCCTCTGTAAGTTCATTAGTCTCTATCTGTTTTAGCTAGACTTGTTAGTGTTCACTTAATCTAGCTTGTGAGTCTCACATTTGGTATTAATTATTAGTTCTAAATGTTTGTTTGTTGTCAGAATCCAGTGGCGGGAGATTTTTTTCTCTGGAAAAAACTGCGGTACTCCACGTTTACGTACATTTCCACCAAAGCGATTTAACATTCACAGGTGTGGATCTTAGTTAATAACAGTTTACTGACGGGCTGCGCCTTTGTCCGTGTAGAATAATTCTCATTGTTATACATCCGAAGCTTAAACATGAGGCTGCTTTCCGCCAACCTTGGTTTTCATCGTGGCTCTTTCCTTACCCACACAGGCATGGGCGTCGCACATGTGGGGGATGCAACACCCACACTTTGCTTTATCTACTTGTGAAGCTGAATATGTGTCACTGGCTGTTACAATCCAGGAATGTTTGTATTTAATGCAACTCCTAGAGCATATGGATAACTATAGGGCCATTCCCATCTGTACCGGGTCGGCCCGGGCCGGGTAGCGTAGGTTGTTTACATATCTGGGTGGCCTGGTATTTTTCCGGGCCAACCAAGGCTCATTCTCAGCCCTCTTCTCGAGGGGGTCTGCTTCAGGCCGACCAGGACCAACACACCCACTGCTGACAGCAAATTCACACCTTCCATTAGAGCAAGCCTCTGATTGGTGGGTAGAATCAGCCCACATGGGCTTAAGACAAGGATGTGTGGAATCAACCGGGCCAGGCTGGGGCCGACTGGCGCTACCCGGCCCGGTACAGATGGGAATGGCCCATATGAGTATAAGCTACCTGAGATATTTGAAGACAACCAGGGAACTATTGCTCTAGCTAAGAACCCCGTGAAAAGACAGCAGTGTAAACACATAGATGTGAATTATCATTTTCTCAGATCTACGTTGAAACAAGGACAGGTTAACTTAAACTATTGCCCGACTAATGAAATGGTCGCAGACATTTTGACAAAGCCCACTACCCTGTGCAAGTTAACAAGGTTTAGTAAGTTTTTGTTCGGAGGTAAAGGTTAAAGACTTTTGTTTCATATAAAGGACTAAGGTCAGAGCAAGTGGGGGTGTTGAGATATGTGCTCTGATGTGTTAAATGTTTTACATAAGACTTTTATTTTGGAAACACTGTTAGAGGAAATGACGTATGCTGTCATGTGGTATGTTATGTTCCAATAAGAATGGTTAAAAATGAACTTTGAACTCTCCCATCCACCAATAAAAGCAGAGCTTTGGTAAATATGAATCTGCTGCTGCTGCTGCCGTAGACGCCAAGCTCAAAACGATAATTCATCTCAGTGTTTTTGTGAGAAAGCCAGTGCTGCTGCGCACGATATCTAGTGATGATGATGTGAAGCCTTTTGAACCAACAAAGCTTTACAATCCAATTGTATTGAAAAAAGGTTCTTTTTTTTTCAAAACTTTATTGAACAAGGTGAAAGTATACAATCAAATTGCATACAAAATTGAACAAAGATGAAACATATGCCAGGGGGTGTACTACAGAAATGTTACACACATCCAAATAACTTATAGGTGGTGCAAATAGATATAGTTTTTAAAGCTTTTTTGTTTAGTGATCCACTAATCAATTTTATGTAAGATAGAGTGTCACCATAATAGTGCTTGAAATTAGGTTTTTGGTTACTATATTTTAGGGCTGCAACAAACGATTATTTGGATAATCGATTAATCGGATGGGGTCTCGACACGATTAATCGGATTACATGGGGAAATTTTTTAAAACTGCTAGGGAAACGTTATTTCTCTCCTTCCTTCACTTTATTTAACACAACATTATTAGAAAACAGTTCAATAGCAGAAAAACAACATGCCATCACCTAAATTGTCTTATAAGGTGTATAGACAGAGACCCTAAGCTACATCTATCTGTGACCTAAAATGCTTGGTCCAAGTTAAACAGCTTAAGGGCAATTCTCATCTGTTTTGTTTGATCTCATCTGTTGACATTTATTTTAAATGTAATTAAACATAGGCTGTGAATTAATCAAAATTGATCACTATTTCCAAAAATGACTGAAAAAATACCAAATAAAACAAAAGTAAATGAATGCCATTCTCCTTGCGATGATGCCCTGGGCAACTGCCATAAAGTCACATCAAGAAATGCTCCTGATCATTCCAATGATCCCAAATAGACTCACATTAGGCCACATGAAAGCAACTGAACCCAAAAATAATTAAAATAGTCTGGCCCCGGTGTGATCAACCAGTTTCTGCGGGAATGTGACGGCGGAACCAGGGCCAGATTAACACTTTGTTGTACCCTGGGCAACAATATTCAAGGGCTCCATCATCACGACCCGAGGATCACCATAATGTGGTCACATACAGAATATTTTACTGTAATATGCAGTAAATATACTCAATACTTGAATGCCTGACAACACGTAACCCGCCCAGAGTAACCTTTGACCCACCTCGTGTGGACTGACCAATGAGGAGAGGGTCTTAACTTGAGGCCCTCTCTTCATTGGTCAGTCTGCATGAGACTGACTCTCAACTGACGTTCAGTCGTAGGCAGCGAAGCGTCTCTGTGCAGCGCAAAAGCCCGGGTGGACAGTTTGTTAAATTTTGGGTGATCATATTTCCATTTCCAAACAAGAGGACAGGGGATCTGTGCCTATGACGTCACACTATGGCAACGCCACACAAACCATGTTGGGACCCATTTTTTGTAAGAACTAAATTAATATCAGATTCTGCCAATAAAAGGGCTCTAAAACAATTCATATGTAAATATTTTGCATATTTAATGCAAAATCTCATTTTTATGCTTTAGTGCTGCAACAAGGTTTTATTAATAATAAATTATTATACCTTTTGTTTTACTACAGCATCGGTAAGCTTCCTGTGCACAGATTATTAAGGATGCTTGTTTCAGCTGTGAGATTAGACGATAGGATCAATGATAAAATAAGTTGTCACACACTCCATGGAAACTTTCAGATAATCCACAAATAGTGGCTTTCAAATGGTTTTGTTACTTTTTGCAAGTTTATAAAAGAAGCAGATGAGACAGCATGTCTGATAATTTAGTTTTTCATCTGATATATTAGAACATGTCAGTAATGTCTGAGGGGCTTTTACAAACACTGTATAACTAATACTCCTGGAGAGGGCATGAATTACACAGAGGCTTCTGGGGAGCCCAGTTATGGGGGGGGGGGGGGGGGAGATTTTGCCTTGGCCCCCAAAATGTCTTGAAACGGCCCTGGGTGTGTGACTGAGTTTTGAAGGTGATCTGAATTGTATCAGATGTATAACTATGACATGTGTATAACTTATTGTTTTTTACTGGTAAAAACGTGTAGTGGAGATAAATCTACCTACATTTTACTTTGTTTTCTTGTTTTTATTGAACTATTTTCCTGTCCTGTCTGTCTCTCATCTTCCTGCATCTCCTCTAAACTCTCCAGAAAAACTGTTGCCTGGATTCTTACCTTTTCACCTCATCAGTTACTTTTGAGCAGATCAAAGGGATCTCCTGACCGAAAAGCGCAGAGCGCGTTTTCGATGCTGCGTGAGGTGACATCACCACAGCACAGGTGATGAGCTCCGCAGTAGCGAGCTTCAGGCACAAATAAGACAGAAAATAGAGAACATGTGCAGACAAGAACGATCGTGTGCTAATTATAGTTTTTTGGTTGCGCCACTTTGAGAATGGACCGTGCGCTGGAAGCAGCTGCCTGGATCGCTGTGCAACAATGCGGAACCGGTTCGCAGCAGCGCAAGTCTGCAGGCTCTCCCTCGCGCTGATCTGCCTGTACCGGCTCTCCCTCGCGCTGATCTGCGGCTCTCCCTCGCGCTGATCTGACTTGCTCTGGTCTGCGCGCAACGGTGGGCGGGAAGGGGGGGGGGGGGCGCTTTTGGAAGAGTTGTGCGACACAACGAATCGATGACGCAATTCGTTGCCAACGCTTTTAGTAATCGATTTTCATCGAATTCATCGATTCGTTGTTGCAGCCCTACTATATTTGCATTTGTGGAGATAGAATTTAGCTAGAATAGTTAACAAATTTATAACAAAGTATACATCTTCCTTTATGTGCTTGCGAAAAAAACAAAATACAACATTTTCCCATTTTAGAACAAAGTCCTTGCAGAGCTGTCTGATAATAAATCTGCTAAAGTCTTTCCAAAACGTTGTAGCATGTGAACAGATCCAGAAGAGGTGCTGAACGGTCTCAGGGTGGCTTCCACAAAAACAGCAATTCACATCAATGTCCCTCTTAAACTTTGTCATATAGTGATTAGCTGGGTAACACTTATGAAGTATTTTGAATGAAACTTCTTTGACCTTATTTGTCACAAAATACTTATTAGGAATGGTCCATACTCTTTCCCAACTGATGTCAGTGACAAAGGAATTCCAATAAAAAAATCACATATGGAACAGATAAGGATTCTTTCTGAAATAAAGCACGAATATTCCTATTACTATTTTTATGCTCGATAAGACAAACTTTTCCTACGTATGTGTTCACAGGGTCGGGGGCAGAAATAGGCGGTACAACTGGTAGAACATCTTTAAAAAGCATTCTAACACCCATAGGTATTGCAGCAAACAGTATGGCATATTCTTTGGGAGTTGCCGGAAATTATTGAAAAAAGGTTCAAGGTTCGATGCTTCAAAACTCTGTGAGGACATCTACTGGTAAATGTTTGTATTTCATTGTATTGTCAGCCAATTCTACTGAAAATGAATGGTGTATTGAACTTGATGGACAAATAAAGCATTAAAAAGCTTCCTTAGGATCATATAATAAAAGTATCTTGAATTTGAACATAACATTAAATGTACTAAAATTGCTTTTCTTGGTGTGAATACTTGAAATGAAACAATGTTTATTTTTATGGGATACGTGATTAAATATATCTAATTTACACATATTAACATTCTCTACATATTCAAATATTTTACTTTTCACATTTCTATTGGATTATTAGGCAGGAATAATTAGCTCAATTTATGTATCTTTTTTAGAAATAGAGTAAAAAAATGAAGATTAGAAAATTCACATAAGGATAGGACTTACTAAATTCCATTACACGTACAACCAAACTGAAAAGCTCATCAACTATTATATTACCAATAAAAGACCGCTTCTGCTCCACAATAAACTTTGTGCGTGATCAAATGTCTCTATAGGTGCTTTCTGAGCTGAAGAGGCTATTCTGCCTCAGACTGGATGCGTCATGTGTCTCCACATTAGAGACGGGAACAAGCGCTATTCAGCCAAAGTTTCATAATTTCATAAAAAGAACATTTTTCCAAGTGACACATCCCTCAGAGAGACCGGGTTTCCAGACGGCTTCAGTGGGAGGAAATCTTATCGCATCGTCGTGGTTTTGCGCTGCGCTCCGAACCCCTCTACAGATCTTCAGCCCACTGTCCGCCGTGTTCGCTCCGAGCACATGTCCAGTATAAAGCTCTGATGTTCTGATGGGAATCATTTCTTGATTGATTTAGTTACCTCTGCGATGTGCGTAACGATTAAAATGTCAGCTCATCTGTGTGCGCATCAGTGTGCGTCGGGGTAATTCTTTCAAAACAACCAACATCCTTGAGTTTATCCGTCAAAATAAACAGTCAAATGTAAATATCTGTAACCTGCCATTTAACTGTTTTGCCTTCTTGTGAAGATTGTTGCAAAGAGAAACAACTAAACGTGATTAACCCCAGAGCCACGCGCACTGCGCTGTACGTCGTGACTGTAAATGAGGGGGAACGATTTAATCGGATCCTTTTCTTTTCAACATGGTTTAATGTAAAGTTTCATTCAGTACAAACTTTAGTTACACCAATCTAGGGCTGTAGCGAAGCCTCGACGAAGTCGACGGCTCGATTCTAAAAATTTGTCGACGTCAGATCCGGAAGTCGACGCACCGCGCCCACTTGTTGCATCCCCAGGAGTTTGTAAATAGAGGAGGAATCTGCCTGTTTTTCCTGTAGTTCGCCCTCTTCTCCCCCTTCACTAACATCTCCGCCAAATACCGAAGACCCGGAACAACATCCGTCCACTACTAGATTATTTTCCTGTTTTGCCCGCCTTCGTCTCCCGGCAACGGACAACAACTTCCGGGGTCAGATGCGCTGCTTCGTCTCTATCGCAGATGTAGAAAATCACCGGGAGCGCTTCTCCCTTCATTAAGGAGCTTCTTTCAGACACGAGGAGAGCTGTTTTGGTGGTAGCAGTCTCTCCTCCGTGCTGGTCTGTTTGCTGCCGGGTGTTTTTGGTTTATTTAAACTTGGTAACTTGAACTTAACGTTGGTAAAGCTACTGTTAGCATCTTCGCTAACAGCTTCTTGCGTTGGGATAAGCCGTTACGTTTTGGTTTAGAGTTCATCTTTTTTGTGGTGTAGATCTCCCTTTTACTACATTTAGAGTGTTGTGGGTTTTCGGTTTAGTGTAAAATATCACCTGAGTTTGGTTTAACCCGTAAGACCACTCGCCTCACGCACATAAGTGACCAAAACAAAGCAGCATGGAGACACTCCATCTTCTACCACCTCTCAGGCAGCAGCCTGCACTCCCAAGTTCTACACGTCACCAGAACATAACCAACCGCAACACAATAAACGCAGTGTTATACAAAATGGAAGGCCTGTAGTGTTTATTCTCTTACAGTAAGAATTTATCAATTTTTTTGAGGAATTTATTTGAGATTTTCTGGTTTTTGTTAATTGTGCAATAGAAAAATAATCATTAGATTAATTTTCTAAATAGTCATTAGAATAGTCGACTATTCGATAAAATAATCGTCAGAATAATCGTTTTAAAAATAATCGTTTACCCCCAGCCCTACCCCAATCTAACGAGACAGAGCCTGGATTTGTATTCTGAACAGTTTAAACATGTTTAAAACGGAGACATGCGTGACGCGTCTAAAATCCGCACCTGCTCCGCTATTATGGAAATTAAACTAACAAGATGAATAACATGAACTTATTTTAGGCACAGACAGGGTCCGAAATTAACACTCGCCAAATGCGAGTAAATTGCTCCATTTGGCGAGTAAATGTTTGAGCTCTATCTGCCACATGGCGAGTAAATGTTTGCACCAAATTAGTTATGTTTATCAGTCATCTTCCACGGATTTCTGATACTCCTCCCGCCTGCATGCAACTTACACAAACGTACGCGAAACGTGAACGCCGCATCCAACGTCATTTCCACCTATCCCATTCAATCAGTTTATCAAGTTAGCCGTTAGCTTCGTGTTAAAACTAGCGGTGAAATGTGGCGGTTTTTAACTGGAGTCAGCCAGCCTTCCAAAGGAAAACTCGTCGAACTGGAAGAAAAACCACCAGGACCAGTGGCAACCAGAAGATTTTGTGAAAAGTGGCGAACCGGAGGTGGCGGAGTCGTGAGACAATGGCTACATTATGATGGCCACGTAGCGTTGCTGCCTTTCACAGACAACTGGCCCTCGGCATTCTTCAAATATCCAAAAAATGCCCATACTTCCGACTTTGTCTTCTTTGAGGGATAATAAATGTCCTGAGCGCTGCCGTCTCCTCCTTTGGTCATTATTTCAGCTTTACCTTAAAGAAAGTTTTGGTTGTAAACAACAAAGTGCGCATGTGCCGCCGGCAACTTCAGCAGATGATACGGTGGCTGGTAAGGGTCACCGCGCCTACACCGCAGCCACGGTAATCCACCGAAATAATATATATATTTTTTAAACAAGACTGTTATTATTATTGTCAACTTTTTTACCGGGGTTTACCGCTACACCGGTTACCGTGACAACCCTAGCCCTGACACACTTTCAGATATTCTCGTGGTGCAGCTGCGTTCTCCAGAGATCAAGGACTAGGACCCAAATGAGGCTGTAAGGCTTTGGCACAAAGACGGTGTCAGAAGCAGGAGGCCAGACTTCATGGACAGAGAAAACAAGGAGTCTGACTAGATTTCAATGAAAGAGTTCATAAAAACATCTCTAAAAATAAATAAATAAATGGTAAAAAATGACAAAAGAGTTGTTTTTCTTATTAATTGATGTTTTAATTATTTTTTCACTCTGTTCGGAATCAACATAATATAGAAAAACATGCTTTAGGTAGATCTAAGTCATTTAGGATTTTGGCCGGTAAAAAATATGCTTGGCCGGTAGATTTTCATCATCTACCAGCCAACTTGGCCGGTGAGTAAAAAATTTAATTTCGGACCCTGGGCACAGACAACATCCCCCACACTTTTGAAAAGCATGCAGCACGCCTGTGTACAGGCCTTTTCATCTAAATATAATCGTTACATTTCCATAAACGAGATATTAATGTAAAGCATTTTCATACTTTGATGTGTAAAATTATTATAATAATTTAATTTCTAAAATAAGAACGTAGGAAATTTAAAGACAAGAAACGACAATAAAGAGGCAGTTGCAAATACAATTTTTGGGGAATTAGATAATTCAATCGACATGCATTCTAAAATGTTCATCTACTGTGGTACAAGTCAAAACTCAGTCAATGCAAGCAGCACCACGTAAGAACAAGGTTTAGTTTCCTTGCAAATATGTAGAAAAGTGTAAAAAGGCTCAAATGAATGATCAGTATAGGAGTAGTTCCTACAACTGTTCAGCAGTGATGAAGAATAACAAGAAATGTCTCTTAGTTTTAAAATAGAATAAAACATTACGGCACGATGAACATTTAAACGTAAAGACGCTGGTGTTGCATCACTCTCTTAATTCTGTCTAGTGTGTTTAGTAGGGACGTGAATCTTAGAGCAACTCACGATTTGATTCGATTCCGATTCTTGGGGTGCCGATTCGATTCAGAATCGATTCTCAATTTAAATCGATTCACAATCAGGATTAACAAAGAGCGTCAGCTCCAGGATGAACTACTGTGGTGTACAAGTTAGTTAAAGCTATGGGACGTTTTTATTTGACTTTAAACTGGTCATGCTCCAAAAATGCTAATTTACAAGTTAAACTAAAGTGATTCTAAAACTGTAAACAGAAACAATCTTTTGACCAAAAGGCAACATTTATTTTTGCTTACCTTGTAAAATATAACAAATCTCTAGTTACCTAACAGCAGCTTTGAAAGTAATACGGTCAAATACTTTTCAAGTATGTGTAGAAACAAGTTACACGAGTAATCCTGAGTACTCGTTTATCAACTTAGAAAATAAATATGAGAATATTTCAAATTTCTGAGTATGGAAAAAATGACATTCAAGTGCCCTCTTATCAGCAGATTCAAACATAAATCATCTCAATTTATGGGACCACAAAAGTAATCTGAGTACTGACTCTCCTAACAAAGACCAAAAAAGTGCATCTCAGACCTGTAACTGCCAAACATTTGAGTTCTTTGAATCGATTCTGAATCTTTATAAATAAGAATCCCGATTCAGACTTGAATTGATTCTTTTCAGCACCTCTAGGTGTTTAGTGTTATATAGATGTAGACAAAGTTGTTATATCTACCGTATTTGCTGAATGATTTTAAATCCCCGTGAGAAAATAAGTGCATATTTTTAACAGTTTATTTTTTTTATCTAATTTTTTTATTCACATTGTTCAGGTTGATCATCTTTCTGCTGCAGCGTGTGCCTGGACTCTGAGCTACCTGCCCCACAGACGAGATGTTGAGAAGTGCTTCAGCTCAGGTGAGGAGAACCAAACTTTTAAAAATAGTAATTTTACTCCTTTATATTAGAATTTACTGCAAATATCAATAAAAGGAAAAATAGCCTCCACTGATGATCTTCCTTGAAGGACAGCGATATCCTAAAAATAAAAGATGGTTGAAGAATTAATCAATTTTTTAATGCTTTTTCCCTTGAGACAGTTTTAACTGGACTCATTTATTTGATATAAAAGTACATTTAGTAAATGGGGTTTAGGCAGGATCTGTTCTGTTCAAGAGCCTATGTAAGAAGCTGCATTGCATAAACCAAATATTTTATCATGTTTTTGTTTGATGTCACAGATTTTCAGACAGGTTGTGAGGAACATGAGTACAGACCAGAGCCTCGTCCTGGAAAGATGTGAGTGAATGATGTTGGGTGTCGTCTGGATTAAGCAGTGACGTGTCGTGTTTTATTTATTTATTTTCTGAAAGTTCTCGAATGTTCAGATAAAGATAACAGTAACAAAGTCAGCAGGCACGGGAGGGGGCGGGGCTTGACGCCTAGCCAGGCTTATAAAGTGCTGGGGAAAACCCTGGATGTGTGTAGGTTGCCATCGTTCATGTCCCTTTAACTCGTTCACTGCCAATTTTTTTACTGTGTGGGCGTCGGACGAGCCCCCGCACCGTGAGAACAAACATCTCTAAAGCCGATCTTCATCTGCGTACGTCACACGTCACGTGATCAGGAAGCAGAACGTCCATGTGTTAGGAGATCGTTTTGGGCCGCTGCTGTAAAAAAAGTGAGGCGCGAACCGGAAAAGCTTCTGCCGATCACAATTCAACAACGGATTATGAAAGAACGGATAACGCTCGAAACGCGACGATTCTTCCTGACGTAAGAGGTGAGTCTCCGCTTTGTTTTGGTTGTTTCGGCGTCAACATCATCCTAGCGCGTTACGCTCTGTCACTCTTAAAAATACAGTAAAAACGCTGGCAGCGAATGAGTTGAGCGGCACCACCTTGTCACGTAAAAATGTGACTCGGTGTAATACACGTGACAGCCCCATCTAGTGGACATCTTTTGTCTCTGCGCATACCTGTAGTTATCGTCCATTTATCGTTATCGGGGTGAAATCCTCAATATGTCGTGATGTTGGCTTTCGGCCATATTGCCCAGCCCTAGTATAGCATGAATAATTTACCTCATCTGCCTTGACTTACAAAGTTGGAAAAGCTTACTGGGCAGAACTGAACTGAAGTAAATATTCTTTCAGCGATAAACAAGGTGCAGCTGTTGGGGCGAGTTGGTCAGGACCCAGTGATGAGACAAGTGGAGGGTCGGAACCCCGTCACCATCTTCTCCTTGGCGACAAACGAGATGTGGCGCTCTGGAGAGACGGAAACAAGCTCAACAGGTTGGACATCAGAGTACAGTTTCATTCAGACATTAAGTTGTTTTTACTAAAGTCTTCTTAAAAAATAAAGCTTCTCCTACATTTTATGGTTTGGTTAAGTCTAGGGCTGTCGCGGTTGAGGAATTCCCCCTGCGGTGATTCAGGGTGGCTTAATATTGCGGTGTGCGATATTATTGCAGCCCTTTTTTTATTGCAGTACTATCTAAACATAATGTTTACACATTTAAAAAAGGTTAAAAATTGCCGTGCCTTCTTTTATAACACTTTACTGAATGCAGATCAAAGGGCAGTAACAACACAGATCGCAGTAACGTTTGTTTCTCCGACAGTCGGAGTCCGACTGAACTTAAAAACAACAAAATTCAGGAGGTTAAACTTTTAAATGCAAATTTGGCTGCAGCATCTAACAAATAAGAAACAAGTCCCCATTTTGTTTAGTTGTTTAAAATCAAGCATAAAAAATTACATGTACCGGGCGCGCGCCAGGGGGCGGGGCACTATCATTTCACATTCACACACGAATGATGGTGATTTATAGCTCGGTCACGTCCTTGTTACCTACAAGGAAAACCAGCATGTTAACCATATACGGTTTGAGAGAGGATCTGAGAGGGGGGCAACATTTCCAGCAACACTGAAAACCTTCTCGGATGGTGCGCTCGTTGCACTAACGCACACGTACCTGCGTGCGACTGGCGAGCAAAGGGAATCTCTCCCGGTTGTTGCTCCACCATGTCAGGGGGGTTTCTTTAGGGTGGATGCATTCCTCCTGCAGGTAGCGAGTGAGCTCCAGCTCGGCTCAAACTCTCTTCGGGACGGCTGCAGAAGCAGTGCTTGTCCGGGACTTCAGCAGGTCTCCGAGCGTTTATTATTATTTTTTTTTGCCGCTGGTGGCAGCTCTGTCTCGGCCAAGGACTCTGGCTGCGCAGCAGCTGACGTACTGAAAACCAAAGTGCTCCCAAAGGAGCGAAGTAACGTTTGGTTTTGATACCAGTGCAGCCATCCTTCTCAACATGCATCATTGAGTTGAACCAAGTTCAGTAATCGCGGTGGCGCATGATGCAGCGCGGTGGGCTTCTTCATATCGCGATATTTCATTTTTGCGGTTACCGTGACAGCCCTAGTTAAAGTAATCTGTTTCAGCTCAAGTTGATTAGTTGACAAATTTTTTTGGGGGGGGGGGGGTCTGGCTATCTGAAGTCCAACATTTATTATTATCAGAAGATTTTTGACTTCCAGAAATTTGTCCTTTTAAACCAAAATGTTTCTCATTCATGGATGAGCGGGAGTTTTCTCAACAAGAAGAAATCAGCTCATTTCTAACAGAAAATGCAGCGTTTGAGTTTCACCACTAGAGGTCAGTAGAAACCTTAAAGTGAAACGTTTGCTGCTGTTCTCTGTTGAGAGCTTCAGATTCACACTTCTGTTTGCATTTTAGGATTTTTGGAGTTTGGGAAGTTTTCAGCTTGTTCTTTTTATTGAAGCTACCGTTAAACAAAATTTTGAGCGTTTTCCAGACATTTTCACGTGATGTCTGATGTTTTCTATCTGTAGGTGATGTCAGTCAGAAGACGACGTGGCATCGCATCTCTGTGTTTAAACCAGGTCTGAGAGACGTAGCCTATCAGTACGTCAAGAAAGGGTACGAGCACCTTGTTTCCTCGACTGGGCTGAGCATTTCTACACTCTGGATTGTTTTAGTTGTTTTATTCTTAAACCCACATTGAACTAGTGCAGTGGTTCCTAACCTGGGGTCCCGACCCCCACAAGGGGGCGCCAAAGCCTCTCACAGGGTATCCGTGGGTCCTTAAAAAGTCTTAAATTAGCTTTTCCAAATTTGAGGCCTTAAAAATCCTTTAAAATGACAAATAATCCTTAAATGCAGTTTCCACAGGTCTTAAATTACCAAAGACCCAATAAACAAAATTCTTTTATTTCTATAAAATTTTCGTGAATTTCTAGTTAGTGTTCAGCATTTTTGTGTACGATGTTGCCGTAAATGGAACCATACACGTTCAGTTGGTTGTGAAAGGGGGCTATTTTTAGATGAGCACATTAGCTGGTTAAGCTAGTGGGAGCTTGCGCCATGGGGAAGGGCAAGTTTAATGGTAAATGGATGGCTAATCCCATGATTGCGGCGTGGTTAGCACCGGTTCCAGGCAATAGCTGGAAATTATAGCTTAAATGATAAATGACCTGCACTTGTATAGCGTCTGTCAGAGTAAGGACTCCAAAGCGCTTTACACTACAGTGTATCATCGATCCATTCACACACACATTCACACACTGGTGGTGATGAGCTACGATGTAGAGGCGAGGCTGCCGAGCACTGGCGCCACCGGTCCCTCCGACCACCACCAGCAGGCAAGGTGGGTTAAGTGTCTTGCCCAAGGACACAACAGCAGAATTCTCTGTCCGGAGCTGGGATCGAATCTGCAGCCACTGCTGCCCTGCTTAAATAGCTTAAATTTGGTCAAAGTGGCCTTAAAAAAAGGTCTTAAAAAGTCTTAAATTTGGCTCCCTTAAACCTGCAGATACCCTGCTCTCAGTGGGTCGCCAGGACCTCTCCACTTTAAGGGGTTAAAACTTCATTTATTACTTGTTTATAGCCTACATTTTGCTCACATTTTTTTTCACGAGTGAAAAGTTTACTGATATTAAGACAGGAAATAATTAGTACAGAAAGAGTAACACACTTAAGAACATTTTGCTCAGCTCACTGTTTTATTTTCAAGTGTCAAAAGTTCATTAAAGATAGGACTGGTTGATTAATCACAGCCTTTACAGTAAATAATCTAGTATAAACAGTAATAAACACATTTAAGTACATTTTGCTCAGTGTATTTTTATGTGTCAAACGTTTATTGAAAGGAATGATTGATTTATCAGTGTTTACAAGAAACAATGTGTTCAGAAAAGTAATACAAACTGTCAAGCACATTATGCTCTGTTTGGTTTTGTTAATGACTTTGTTCTGTACTGGAGCCTACTATTACTGTTATCTATTGAATCAAAGCATATTAAAATGTGCTTGAACAATTTTATCATTTATTAATAATGTTTGTACTGGAAGAGAGAATGGGGGAGGGGTCGTCAGAAATTTTACTGGTAAAAAACGGGGTCCCTTGGGAAAAAGGTTGGGAATCACTGAACTAGTGAATGATGGAGAAGATGTCATTTTAACACAATTATTTTCTGAGCATTACAAACCGGCCGTGTCTACAGCACAACCGTCCAGAAACACCCAATAAAATCACCAACTAATGATCTCTCCCAGGGCGAGGATTCTAGTAGAAGGAAAACTGGATTATGGAGAGTACCTGGACAAGAACCAAGTCAGACGTCAGGCCACCACCATCATTGCAGGTGAGATTAAACACCTCTATACATCGGTAAAAGCTACTTACAAAACACCGATTCTGCTTTTTTCCCTTTTAGATAATATTGTCTTTCTGAGCGACAACGTCAGAGACAGAACCTGAAACCCTCTCCGTCCATCCACAGGACTACTTCTAGTTTTTCTTTAGTTTTTTCTACCAAAACAAGATTTTTGATGGCAACGATGTGAAGGAACTGTTGAGAAAAGGGAGATAGAACAAGCAGATTGACTTTGGCGCCCGCTGTTGGAGATGACGACATGTGGACATCAAAAGGAGCAGAAAGATGCATCTGTTCAGAAAATTCACAAAAAATGAGTCGGATTGTGCCATGTGCCGTTTCAAAAGTAGACATATATGAGCCCCTTTTTTTTCTGTTCAAACTTCTTCTCAAAATAAAGGTTGGAGGTTTTGTTCATCCATCCAGCTGCATTTAGCTTTTGTTGTTCCATTCAGGTGCTTTTTCAGAGATGTAAATACATTTATACACAGAACTAACGCTTTTTGTCAAGTTGTGACTCGATAAAAACTTCAGACTTTGTGGAGAGAAGTCCAGTTACTTCCTGTCTTAAAAAAGGTTAAACAGACAACTAAATATAGATAGATAGATAGATAGATAGATAGATAGATAGATAGATAGATAGATAGATAGATAGATAGATAAAAACTTTATTAATCCCTCGGGTGAGTTCCTTCGGGAAATTCAGTTTCCAAAAAATGCAGCGCAACACCGACAGGTTACAGAACGTCAGAAAATATTATATAATAATAAAAATAGAAATAAATATAAAAATACAATTGAATTGCACCTTCCGGATATCAACGTCCTTAGCACCGTTGACCATTAAACCAATTTAACTGTTTAACAAAGGTACTTGCATTGAGGTATTGCACAGTGAAGTGAGTCACTACAGCCTCTGTGTCCCCCCCCTCCTGGTTCTCCTCCCTCTCCCCTCCAGAGAGGAGTTATACAGTCTGATGGCGTGTGGGACAAAGGAGTTTTTAAGTCTGTTAGTTCTCATCTTGGGGAGAAGCAGCCTTTCACTGAATAGACTCTTCTGTTTGTTTATGGCCGTGTGCAGAGGATGCCCAGCATTGTCCATGATGTCAAACAGTTTTTTTAATGTCCTTTCCTCTGCCACTGACACCAACGTGTCCAGTTTCACGCCGACCACAGAGCCTGCCTTCCTGATCAGCTTCTCCAGCCTAGATGTGTCCTTCTTCGCTGTGCCACTCCCCCAGCACACCACAGCAAAAAGAAGTACTCCAGCAACCACTGACTCGTAAAACATCCTCAGGAGCTTCCTGCAGATGTTAAAAGACCTCAGCCTCCTGAGGAAGTACAGTCGGCCTTGGGCTTTCTTATACAGGTGGCCTGTGTTGCATGACCAGTCCAGTTTATTGTCCACCCACAGCCCAAGGTACTTGTACTTAGTGACTACCTCCACCTCCTCCCCCTCTATCTTAATCGGCACTGGACCCCCTCTTGACCTCCCGAAGTCCACGACCAGTTCCTTAGTTTTTAAGGTGTTGAGTTGCAGGTGATTCAAGTGACTCCATGCGACGAAATCTCTCACCAGACCTCTGTACTCCGCGTCCTGATCATCCCAAATACACCCCACATTATCCACATTATTCTAGTCAAAAAGCTTTTTTTTTCTTTCTTCATGTTTTACTTTTCCTCATAAATCAAAAGTGGACGGACTGTTTTAGTCTCTGAATAAAGGTAGAGAGACAACCCGTCTGAGAGGATTTTCAGACCGTCTCATCTTTGCATTTCTTTCTCCTTTTTAGATTTCTCTTGATTTAAAGTTTGTTTAGTTGCAGAGAAACGTGCTACCGATGGAACTGGTTGAAGGTCAAAAAGAAAGTTTCCAACCTTACAGGAAGCGTCTTCAGACTTGGTTTCACTACTGAGACGTTTAGATCTACTGGTTACATTTTAAAATCTTGATCCTGTTTTCTGCTTTGGCACTCTTGTCACATAGATCTAATTTCCTTCCTGGATTGACCGTTTGCTCGACACGGACGAATATCTATGTAACATTTGCTCAGAGACACAAATATTGTCTCATTAACCTAATGCTGATCATCATTTCTCTAAAGAAGTGTGCATAGTGGAGGAAAAAAATGCGTCACAAAAAAAATGGTTAAACATTAAACTTCAAAATATCTGTTTAAAAGAACGTTTGTAATTCGTTTTTTTTATTTCCTTTTATTAAAAGAATATGGTGTGTTGAAATAATCCTGGTAAATGAAAAGCAGCGTTTTTCTTGACGACTGTAGGCGGGTTTCAACACAAGGTAGTCTTGTCCGAAAGAGATTGGTTGCGAGGATTAATCCTTTTAATATAATCGCTATCTGATTGGTCAGTTGGCCGAATGTGGGCGGGGCTTTGAAGTTGACGGAAACCTGTTGATTCAGTAAACAGTCAGAATAAAAACATCAGGACCGGAAATGAATTTTTGCGGTGATGGTTAGTGAATTATAGAAAACTATAACTTTACAATGTTAGTGGATGTAATAAATCATGTACACACGATACAAGGTTTTCAATCAGCTTAAAAAAGGCAAATATTACTAGCTTGATTATTTTATAACGTTCAGAATATTGTTTAAAAGCAATGATTATTTTACTTATTCGTTAATTCTTTACTAAGATAAAAGACACAATATGTTGCGTCATGCTCTTCAAACGTGGAAATAGTTTGTTATCAGTTTTTTTAACTAATAAAGGAGCATTTTATTTTGTAATCAATGACCGGAAGTGTACGTTTTTAAAGTGGCATTTAAAAATAGTGTCATAAACGACTCGGGGGACATAAGTTTCCACCTGATTTTACGTACTTTTATTATGTTTCGCGTTGTTGTGACACTATTTCACGCTGGCAGCTTTTATCGTGAGTAAAACGGTTTTTTTCCTCCTCTCCGCCGGAGACGTTAGCTTGTCTCCGCCCAGACATTCCTCTGTCTGCCTGCGCTGTTCTGGGGGGACGAGGACAGAAACGGGACGGAGAGGCTTCTGAAAAGAGTCCGTGGACCCGAACCGGAGAGGAGATGATCAGAAACAGCCACATTTCTCACCTTAAATCCGATCAATCGCGCGTTTATTGTTGCGTGTGCGTTTCCAGCTGGACGCGATTTCTGACGTCTGAATTCCACTTTTAGACGCTCAACAGAAGTTGTTGGAAAGTTTGTTTAGTTTTGAAGTGGCTGCGGAGTGAAAGACCTCTCGGTGGAGGAATAAATCGAGTGGACGAGTCGGGCAGGAGGAGAGAAAGTCTGGGTGAAGGAAATCATCATGGAGATCCTGGACAGCAGCGAAGCGTTTCTCCACTGGGACCGGAACCTGAGCGAGCTGTCCGAGGCCGGAGAGATCGACTCTGTGCTCTACACTAATGTAAGCCATCGATTATTGATCAGACATGGGCTGACACTTCAAAAATATATCTACTTCATCACTCTTTAAAGAAGATTAAGTGGGAGGAAACTGTTTTCATGATACCCTGCCCTCCATTCAAAAAGCTGAGCCTTGAGGTCCAGGGTGCATCTGGTTCACTCAGCAGAAGTTTCAGTTTTTTTTAATTTATTGCCCTTTTACATCGACTTTTACCTCAAATATCACTGAAGTTTAAACACCGGAAACATTTTGAAGCATATCTGCTACATAAATGGGACATTTATTCAAAATCCGCCTCATGTATTTGCAACTTCAACACACTAATCACCCAGAATCTAGTTTTTCTACTTACAAGTAGACGTTTAGTTGTAGGAATAGCAAAAGTTGTGGGAGAAAGTTTTGAGCAAAATACCAAACATTAAACAGCTCTCGCATGTGCTGCAATGACTTCAGCGTAATCACAATGTTCCCATCAACAAAAGCTGAAATAGACCTCTAGAGTATTTTTAAATACCTCCAGATGAAATGTACATAATAAGCAAATAATAATAATAATAATAAAATCATGTATATTTCCTAAAGCTTCTTTTAGATTCTGGAAATGCATAAAAAAATCAACATATTTCCAATTTGGTAGGATTAGATATTGGTTTGAGATTCAAAAGTGAAGGAATTTTTCACTATTTTCATTTAGCAGAATCAGAATGTTAACTTTACCGTACGTGAACACGTCTTAAACATCATTAAAACGTTTAATAACATCTATACTGCAGGACGTTTAATCTATTAGAACTGATCCTTTATCATTTATCTGTTCATACAAAAACACCTCGACCTGAATTACAGCATATCTCCTGGTGTTTATATGGTGATAACACACACACACACACACACACACACACACACACACGCACGCGCACACACACACAGCATGTCGTCTCAGTAACCTAAACTCTGCATTTAAAGTCTCCTGTTATGCAACTTAACGTGTTTCTTCCAGACATTTTTCTGCTCCACTGCGAGCCAAGAGGAGGGTGTGGGATGGAAAGAGTGAGGCTGGTGTGTGTGTGTGTGTGTGTGTGTGTGTGTGTGTGTGTGTGTGTGTGTGTGTGTGTGTGTGTGTGTGTGTGGAAACAGTGACCGGAGGGTTCACAGAGTCTAAAAACAGCTGGCTCATAAGATGGAAACGAGCCGCTAGAGAGGCTGCATCAGCCTGCTTTTGTTTCCATCACTTCTAAGACATCACACCAACGTCTGATGCTGAAATGATTTGTCCTGAAAACGAACGTGCATCCCCACTGGTTGTGGTTGTCGTGTCTTAGCAGGCAGGTAAAAAACTTGTGTCGAAGTCTCCGAGACGCTTCATGATGCTGCTTTATTTAGGACCCGAGGCTACGATTTCCATCAAACCCAAACTTGGAGGGAAACAAAGCTGCAGCTGCTCTTGTGCTGCAAGATCTGGAGACTGAACTCAGTGGTTACTCTATTAGTGTCCGGATCAAACTTCCAGATCTGATTTAACTAACTTCAACAGTCAGAATGGGTAATAAAACATTCTCTTCTCAAATAGATCAAGAGTCAGAAGGTGGTTAGGTTTTTATTTAGCAGGAAAACCAGTCAGCAACGTTTTACATCTTCATCTTAAACACCAACTTCTGCAGAAATGCTCTGAAACAGGACATTTTGATCTTTTTTACATATGTAACTTAAATCGTACGTTAATGAAAAGTCCAGTATGTGAATCCAGACCCAAACCTTTTCGTTTATTTTCTTGTATTTATTAAGGTTAAACAGGAATATATATATATATTTGTATTCTCCTTAATATCAGAATCCTGATATTAATCTTCAATCAATCAATCAAAGCTTTATTTATAAAGCGCCTTGCGCAACCCTGTCAGGAAGCCCAAGGCGCTGAACATGGTACAGTACAAAGTTAAATATAGTGAATAAATCAGAAAATAAAAGCTATACAAATTACAAAAAAGGTGAAACATTCTAGTAGAAGACAAATGTGTAAAACAAGGGCTAGAGTGAACCAATGAAAACTGTCAGATAAAATCAACATAAAATAGAGCCAGATTCAAACATGTTCAGGAAATTATCTTATTGTAATATGGGTATATATATATATATATGTGTGTGAGTGTGTGTGTATATATATACATATATGTATATACATATATGTATATACGTATATGTACATGTGGGCGACGGTGGCACAGGCATTAAGTGCTCGCCCCGTAATCGGAAGGTTGCAGGTTCGAGCCCCGTTCAGTCTGTCGCTGTCGTTGTGTCCTTGGGCAAGACACTTAACCCACGTTGCCTGCTGGTGGTGGTCGGAGGGACCGGTGGCGCCAGTGCTCGGCAGCCTCGCCTCTGTCAGTGCGCCCCAGGGCAGCTGTGGCTACATGGTAGCTCATCACCACCAGTGTGTGAATGTGTGTGTGAATGGATGAATGACTGAGCCATGACTCTAGAAGGCGCTATATCAAATACAGGCCATTTACCATATATATATATATATATATATATATATATATATATATATATATATATATATATATATATATATCTTATCTCACTTTACAAGCTTTTGGTCCCATTATGTTTATGTATTTAGCAGACGCTTTTGTCCAAAGCGACTTACAAGTGATAATCGGCACGTTGCCCTTGAGGCTAACAACAACAACAACAACAACAACTTGACATCAATCATGGAGAGGAGGGAACAAGGAGTGGACGGTAGAGAGGGGGGACGGGTGCAGGGAGGATGCTAGTTTAGAAGATGCTCTCTGAAGAGCAGGGTCTTCAGGAGTTTCTTGAAAGTCGAAAAGGAAGCCGCTGTTCTGGTAGTGCTTGGAAGGTCATTCCACATTTGTGGAACGATGCATGAGAAGAGTCTGGATTGTCCTGAGCGTGGTGTAGGCACTGCTAGCTGACGATCCTGTGATGAGCGGAGCGGCCGGGCCGAGACGTAAGCCTTTGCAAGAGGATTCAGGTAGATGGGAGCCGTACCATCTCAGACTTTGTATGCTAGTGTTAGCAATTTGAATTTGATGTGTGCTGCTAGCGGTAGCCAGTGGAGCTCAATGAACAGAGAGGTGACGTGTGCTCTTTTTGGCTGATTGAAGACCAGACGCGCCGCTGCGTTCTGGACCATTTGAAGAGGTCTCACAGTACAGGCTGGAAGACCAGTTAGAAGGGCGTTGCAGTAATCGAGGCGGGAGATGACAGTAGATTGCACCAGGAGCTGGGTGGCATGTTGTGTTAGGTATGGTCTGATCTTTATCATTAGCGAATGTCATTCATTTGTTTTTCCTTAGGAGTGTGTCTATCTACTATTGCTTTATTATTCCCTCCCAAAAAGCTAAAGTGGCTAGCCTCCAGAAGCATTTGAGTGTCAGCACTCAGCATCTTTATTTTATTTGCATGCTTTTTTTTTGTCAGATAAAAAAAACTGATTCGAAAAGTTTTTCAGAGCAAAGACTAATTAAAATCTGTTGCTTTATTTTTATTTTCAATGTGTACAGTAATCCCTCGCTACTTCGCGGTTCGTTCATCGCGGATTTGCGGATTTTTTCTTAGGAGCATTTTTCAGGGGGAATTCGCAGATTTTTCTATCCGAAATATCAAGAAATTCTTGTTTTTTTTCATCAATTTCATCATAAAATGCACTTTTTGTAATAAAACAAAAAAAAAACAAGTAAAAAAATTTTTTCTTGAGTTTTACCCACAAAAATAGAATGTGATCATACGATAATTCAATAGGGAGCGTGGTTTCACAGACGCGGAAGTGAGCGTCGGTGAAACGCCGGCTGATCTAGGAAACCCCCGAGCGTTCGAGCGTCAACGAAGTGACACGGAAATGCCGGGCTTCCCAGAAGTAAGTAAGATAACTTACTATGAGCTGATAGTTCGTGGGATTGATCGGTAGGTTGGAAACTCTGATCATGAATCTGAAGAAACGATGACCGAGTGGTGAGCTGGAAAGGCGACTTCCGTTTATAGCCGCGGTTTGTGACGTAGGTGCGACGTGGAGGGAATCCCCGCGAGGGGCATGCTGGGAGTCCCTACTTCGCGGACTTTCACCTATCGCGGCCAGGTCTGGAACGCATCTACCGCGATAAACGAGGGATTACTGTATTCAGTCTTATATATCAGGTTACATGAATATTTTAACAAAGCTCAAACAGTTAAAGGGTCTGGGTGTGGCTTGTAGTGCCATCTAGTGGTCACAGCTGAAGACAGACATTTAATTGTCTTATTAATAAAAACTCATCTACTGGTTTGTTCCTAAAGGTAATGCAGCTGATGTTTGTGAATTTCAGGAAATACCCGCCCTCTCCACTTTAAAATAATAAATAAAAAACACGCATGAGCGAGAACTCCTAGCTCCTCCTCGTGCACGCTCTGTTTACAAGCCGCTGCCAGCCTTGCTGCTAACTTCTGGCTTTAATCTGAACTTCATTTCTCCAAACAGCATGCTGAACTTTAGCTTACCTGTTGAGCAGAAAACCGGCGACAGAGTCGTCTGTGGGGAGCCCAGCCTTCGCTTTCAGCTCACGCCATTGTTGAAAAGAGTCTGAAAGAAAACTCCGCATCACCTCTAAGCTGCTGTTTGGTTGTTTTTATTTGGGGGATCATCCAAACATCAATAACATTTTTGAAATCTCTAAATTTTTGGTGTCATTACAGTGAAATGTGTCTGATGCTCAAAAGTGACGTTGTTCTGTGTGAGTGTTCCATCTAGTAGGGTATGAATGGTGCGTATGAGAGTTGGGGGACAACCAACAAGACGTTCAGTGTTTGAATCTCCAGCGGCTTGAGAAACAGACTGGAGTCTTTGTACGTCTCCTGGTCGCGGGTTCGGCTCCCCCCATCTCCTGGTGGGTGGTGGTGGGGTGGTTCCTCAGAGCAGCGTGAACCAGAACCGGTCTTCAGTTCCTGCTTCTCTCAGGCGTCCTTTCTCTTCTCCTCCCTTCTCTGCTGTGTGAAAG